GGAATGTGATCTCTATTATGACTACAATTGGGATTTTGCTGCAGGTCTTTCCCCATTTCATAAGATTTTGGAAAAGGATCGTATGTTTTAATTTCTGGATAGTCTAAACAAGGATCACGATGAAGTCCGTGACCTTATACTTGGCTGTGATCTTCTTCCTTCTAACAACTCCGTGACCTTATACTTGGCTGTGATCTTCTTCCTTCTAACAACTTGAGAAGCATTCAACAAGATCCACCATGAAGAAAGTTGGAGACTTGTCATGTTCGACAACTCTAACAACTTTAACCGAGCCTTCATTCTCTCGTCTCCAATAACACTCCATACTCTGCCACATCATCTCAAGCCAATCACTCTGCATGTGATTTTTTCCACAAACCCTACCATACCCGTAGTGTAGGAAGCTCCACAAGAAACCGACAAATAAGTCTTCAAGCAAATCTACTGTTCCTGAAATTTTTGCTACGACCTCTGAATCCACAACAGTTCTGCGAGCTCCTACTCTCATCGTTTTCTACTCGCCAGACTATTAAGAGTTAGGTGGAACATTTGATTAAGCTGCTTGGTTTTAGTTCTCTTCCCCTCCGACCTCTCATGTCCATCATGTTAATGTCTTTATGGCTCTTGCCAGTTTGATTCTTTGGGTTTGTGGATTATTGATTCAGGTGCCACAGACCTCATGACCGAGTGTTCCCATTTTTTTTCGGTGTAATCTCCTTGCTCTGGTCGAGATAAGATTAAAATTGCCGACTCCTCTAATTCCATTGCTGGTAAAGGGTCAGTTTCACTAGCAGCTGGGCTGACTTTGGAATCCATGTTATGCATTCCTTTGCTTAAGTGTATTATCTTGCCTGTCAGTAAGTTAACATGTGATATTGATTGTGTAGATTATTTTTTTCAAAATTTTTTTCTTTCAGGATCATTGTTCGGTAATGATGATTGGAACTGTTAAGTGAATAGTCGAGCTAATTTTTTTTTTAAGAAAATGACATTGATGATGTCAACACTCAATCTCGTAGTTGTAGCTTTTGCCTTTCTACTGCATGTCCAATTATGCTTACATTGTTGTTTGGGTTATCCCAACTTTTATTATTTAAAACAATTGTTCCCTTTGATGTTTTCTGATAAAAATAATCTTTTTTTAAATGTGAAATTTGTCAATTAGTTAAACATCAACGTGTACTAGATCCACCTCATCGTGACACTCCACCTTTTTTCACTTATTCATAGTGATTTAGTGGGCATCTTGAACTTCGAGCTACACCAATAAATGATGATTCCTTACTCTAATTGATGATCACACTCAGATGACTTGAGTCTATGTATTAAAAGATAAATTTGAGCTACTCACATTTAAAAATTTTCATTCCTTAGGGTTTGTTTGGGGCAGCTGCAGCTTATTGAATAATCTGCTGAAAAGTTGATTAAGAATAATCTGCTGATAAGCTAGGTGCGATGACTATTACAAATATTTATTTTTTTGAAAAAGTCTGACTGCTACCAGAAAGTTGTCACCACACTTAGATAGGTGCGGTGTGAAAATGTTGTTTTTGGCATTTTGAAAATGCATAAGCTGTCAAAACGCAGTTTACCCAAACATGTCAGGTGCGTTTTCAAAACGTCACCGCATCAAATAAGCTGTCCCAAACGGAGACTTATTCTTACCCTATTCAATAGTACTATCAAGTCTTTCGGTTTGACTGTATATTGGGAGAACTCTTGGTTGGTGAGGGCATCTTCCTTTGTTGTTCCTGTATGAATACCCCTCAACAAAACGGGGTAACCATGCGAAGAAATACACTTTGTCGAAGTTATTTTTTCTATTATATTTCAAAATAATGTTCCTAAGTGTTTTTGGACTGACGTCATCCATACCACTGGGTATCTCATTAATAGAGTTCCCATAAAAAATTATAACTTTTGGACTCTATTATTCATCTTGATGTCATGTTTTCCTACCAATCAGTTCCTCTTTTTAATAGATCCCAAACTTTTTGGGTGCACAACTTTTGTTCGAAACACATCTCTGACGTGTAGTAAAACTTGATCTCCACTATCCCCGTTAAATGTGTCTAACTCGACTATTTCACTACACAAAAAGGTTATCAGTGTTTTGATCCTCTCACCAATAAAATTTATGTCACTATCACTTTTTTTGAAAAATTCCCCTTCTTGCCTAACACTGCCTCAAGTCAGTGGGAGCTTGATTTTTTAAACACTATTTCTTTCCGACTATGATGAGCTTTTCTCCTATTGCTACGACCATTGTTCCTGATGCAAATTTGGCACCGCTGGATTTGTCACCAGCATAGCCAACCCCCACCTTTCCATGTCTATACTCATCGTACAATACCCTTTGTTGAGACTCATTCCAATGCTTCTTTCGTCAAGCCCGCTGCCTCTCTACAGGTCATGGACTCTGCTCTGGCCGACGAACCCAACACAATACTCTCTTGATCCGAGTGAAGAATTGCAACTTCCTATTGAGTTATACAAACGTGTACGATAATGAACTTTTCAATCCTTTTATCCCATGACAAAATACTTCTCATTCCATGACATATCTTTGTCCTACAAAGTAATTGCTACATCCTTGATGGATTATTATTTCTATTGAGGTGGCTTTGGCTGACCCGTCCTGGAGGTTGCTGTCATGGATGAGATAAATGTGTTCGTCGCAACCATACTTGGCAGGTGGTTGATCTTCCTCCGGGAAAGTAATCGGTGGGTAATCAGTGGTTTCTTATCACCAAACTTAACTCTGAGCACTCTTTTGAATGTAACAGGCGTAGTTGGTCGCCAAAGGATATTCACAGATTTATGGGGTTAACTATGAAGAGTCATTTGTTTCGATTGCTAAACTAATTACTGTTCGGGTTTTGTTATCCATAGCCGTGAATTTGGATTGACCCTTACTTTGGACGTCAAGAATGCTTTTTTTTAATGGTGATTTAACTGAGGAAGTTTATGTCTCACCGGATTTTACTCGTTTTCTTTCCTTGGACAAGTGCGTCGATTGCAAATGTCGCTCTATGGACTGAAACAATCCTTACGAGTTTGGTTTGACAAGTTTACAAAAGCTGTAGTGGGTCATGATTTCTCTCAGGCCCAATCTGATCATATGTTGTTTTCTTGCCATTCGTCTGATGACCGTTTTGTCATCCTAATCGTCTATGTGACGACATTGTGCTCACAAGTAACTATCTGTCAGCCTTCGAGTCTTTTAAGGCCATTCTCATTTTGTCCTTTGAGATGAAATACTTGGGTTCTCTCCGATATTTCTTAAGCATGGAAGTATCTCGGTCCTCTTAAGGCATTTGCCTTCCTTAACGCAAATATATGGTGAATTTATTGACCGAGGATAATCTACTTCTTTGCAAACCCGTAGCTATTCTTGTGGACCCCATTAATAAATTATTTGAAGTTCCCAATTCGTTCCGATGAACATCTCGTGGGTAAGTTTATTTACCTTGCTCGTATATGTCCAAACATTTGTCATGTCATTCGTGTCATAAGTTAGTTTATGTATGACCCTACGAGCACCATCTCACCACCGTTCATCAGATCCTCCACTATTTGACCAACACACTGGCTTTGCATTTATTGTTCACTCGTCACACCTCTCATTCGGTTGCGGTTTATACGATTGCTGATTGGACCGGGTCTGCTTATGTTTGACGATTTACATCCCTCTATTGTTCCTTCATGTGGGGAAAATTGTCACTTGAAATAGTAAAAAAATAGTTCGTTGTTGCCCGTAGTAGTGCTGAAGCTGAGTTTCACTGTATTTTTTTGGATGTGTGTGAAACCCTCTAGTTGTGCATCATGCTCTGTGAGTTACGTATGTTGGCTACTATTCCTCTATAGCTTTTTTGTGATAATAAAACCATCGATAACATTTTTCATATTTCGGTCCAACATGATCGTACCAAACATGTGGAGATTGACCGTCACTTTATTCCAACATGATCGCATGATCGTACCAAACATGTGGAGATTGACCGTCACTTTATCAAGGAGAAACTCATTTATGAGGAGATTTGTGTTCCGTTTCTCTCATCCACTTGTCCACTGATTGATATTCTCCCAGAGAATGTTCCTCACCTGTTTTTTGTTGATTTTAAGTCTAAGTTGAACATAATTGACATATATGTTTCAAATTGAGGGAGAGGAGGGAGAGCGCTAGAAGTTATATTAGGATTTTTTTTAATTTCATTTAATTTCTTTTTTATGTATTTCTTTTTATTACGGCTAATTATAGGAGTTTTTGTTTTTAATTTACTTGATTAGATTCTTGTAATCTTGGAGATAGGAGTGTTTTTTCTTTCCTAAGCTCTACTAAGCTGTATTTAAGCCAACATCACATATCAATAAAAGTATTCTGCTTAATTCTCTAAACCTACAATAATTGTAGCTGCAGGTTAAACAAATCCATAGCCAGGAAGAAGTATTCAGTTCAATCAAGTGTGAATATCATGGTCAAAGTAATTAAACTACATATCACAAGGACACATAACAATGAAGGGAAAACTGCAGTTCCCACCTTATGGTTTGCCTCACTTGCACGTCACCTACTTGTACTTTATAAAAAGCATATACAATCCTCGGTGGTTGAATATTTTGGCTTATTACTTCAGTACTAGCCATTTCCTTATACGGTGAAATGCAAATGATGTAAACCATATAAGGGTAAAGTGTGCTTTGCCCTTAAAACAAAGAAAAAATAAGTGTTAGAAGTCAATCATCTTTTTCTCTACTGCGGACTATTTGCATTTTTTTTTATTTCAATACATTATTCATTGTTTTGTTTTGTTTTGTGCCTGTCTATCATATTTTGTTATACTTGCTCAAATTCTTTAATGTTTAACTGTTTATACTTCCCAGCATAAATGAGTATCATCGTCTAGTCAGATATACATGTTTGAATGTGAGGCGTTTCTATAACTACTATTCTGTATGCCTCCGTCACATTTATGTGCTTTGACTCTCATACTATGTAGGTTGATTATTATGCGCATCCAGATCATTATAATCCGGTCTTCCATGAAAGAATCGCTCCATATGCATCCATCATAGGTATGCTGTGCAGAGCATTGTCATCATTTCTGACAAACTTCTTTTTAATTTGTGAATTCATGCTCAGCCTATAATTGTAGGCATTACATATTCTGCTTCGATATTTCTTACTGCAAATGTGCATGCATCTTGACCATTCATAATCATTTGTACGCCTGAAGCATGTAGTGCGGCCATGTCTCGACACTATTATAATTATGCACTTTGTTTCTTCTCAATGAATTAACCATTTACTAATAATGCAATCATGATAGTTTTGCAAGAAGTTAAAACTAGAAAGCTATTCATAATGGTATTGAAATTGATATTGGCAGGGTTATGGAGGTTTTGGATTTAGCTGGAAAAAAAAATATTTGGACATTTTTCATATATATTTAGACTTTGTTTGTCTAACAAGATTAAATTTAATTGGCATCACAAGTTTAATATTATGATAGAAATTTGGAATATATGTACTATTGCTGGCAAATTAATGGAATTAGTAGATATTATGATTCATAGGAAGTTAAATATTTTGTGCATTCAAGAAACTATATGAGTTTGGAAGAAAATAAGAAGATTGATAGCTTAGGTTTTAAACTTTTGTATTCAGGTATGTGCCATACCTAAATTAGTGTACGTGTAATTAAAAATAAGAATTTAAAAGATACTATTGTAAAAATTAACAGAATTAGAGATATAATTATAGTTCTAAAATTGTAAAAATTAATAGAATTAGAGATATAATTATAGTTCTAAATTTTTTTTTTGATACTAAAACTCTTAATATTATAAATGTTTATGATTCTTAAGTAGGTTTGATATCTGTACAAATGAACATTTTTGAATGATATAGAAAAATTAATTCAAATGATATCTTTCGAACAAAAAAATTTTATTGAAGGAGGTTTAAATGGATATGCCTGTAGAGTGGTAGAAAATTTTAGAAGCATTCATGATGGTATTGGTTTTATAGTAACTAATGAAGAAGGTAGAACCCAATTATATTATATTTTAGCTTATGATTTTGTTATTTCTAATATTTTATTTAGGAGAAAATATGAACATATCATAACTTTTAAAAATTGATATAATATAACACAAAAATATTATTTTCTTTTGAAAAAAAACAGATTGTTGAGATTGTAAATATTGTAAGGTTATTTCAAGTGGAAATTTAAGTATCCAACATTGATTATTAATTTTGGATTTTAAGAGGAAGGGTTAAAATATAAAAAATACGATGAATTATTATCGTAGAATTATATTTGAAATGTTCATAAAGAAGCTAATATTATGTTAGATAAATTAACTTGCAAAAATTGTGATGGGAGAATAAAAAGAACTCCTATGAATTAAAAGAGCTGATAGTGGAATAATAATGTGGAAAAAAAAAATACAAAAAAGAAGTTATGCTGTAAAAATTAGTTTAGATGTAAAATTTGGTGAATTAAAAAAAATGATGTCCTATAGGGACTCTAAGTGATAATTTGTGATGCTAAGACTTTTACTTTTTAATGATCTCTTAATAGATTAGAATACTAAAGAGAGTAAAAGATATATTTATAAACTAGTCAAACAAAGAGATAAAAAAAAATAAAGATTTAGTTAAGTTAAATGTATTAAGGTTGAAAATAATGAGAATATTCGAGATAGTTGAGTGAGATATTTTGATCAACTTTTCAATGAAAATCGTAAAATAATGGTTGACTTTAATGATCTTTATATCGTAAATAATAAAAAATTTTTTATGTTCACCACCGTCTTTGTAAAACGAAGTTAAGGAGGCTGTAAAGAAAATGAGGTGCGGAAAAATAGTAGTACTTGATAGTATTCCATTAGAAGTGTGGAAATGTTCAGGAGGAGATCTGATAATTTCTTGGCTTATTAAGATTTTTAATATTAATTTAAAAACAAAAGATTGTCAGGTGAGTGGAGAAAGAGTATATTAGTCCTTTTTTTTAAGAATAAAGGGGATGCACAAGAGTGTGTAAATTATAGAGGAATGTGTCATACATTAAAATTATGAGAGATAATAATTGAACTTAAGTTACAATGTGATACAAAAATTTCTTAAAATTATTTTGGATTTATGTTGCAAACAAGTTTATTATGGAAGCTATACATTTGTTAAGTTGTTTGATGCAGAAGTACAAAGAGATTAAGGAGGATCTACATATGATTTTTGTTGATTTAGAGAAAGTTTATCATAGGTTTCCAAGAGTAGTACTTTGGAGAGTTCTTGAAAGAAAATATGTTGATATTGATTTTATTCAAGTCATTAAAGATAAGTATGTTGTAGCTGTTACTTGTTTTCGAACATAAGGAGGATTGACCAAGTATTTATCTATTTCAATTAGATTACATCAATGATCAACTTTAAGCCCATATCCTTTTACTTTAGTTATGGATGTTCTTACTGAACATTTGCTGGAGGATGTACCCTGATGTATGCTTTTCACTAATGATATCATTCTTGTAAATAAGATTAGATAGAGAATTTAAAAACATTACTTATGGATTTCAATTTTAGAATCTAATGCCTTTCGTTTGATTAGATCTAAAATTGAATATATGGAATATAACTTCAGTAGTGGTATATATAGTGGCGTGGTTGTAACAATTTTTGATTGAGTAATTAAAAGGAGTGAACGTTTTAGATATATGGGGTTTACTGTTAAAAGTGGATGAGGATGTTATTAGTATAATTCAAGTGGGATGGTTGAACTGAAGGAATGCATCGTGCATCGAGCCTATTGTGTGATAGAAAAGTACCGCTTTGACTTAAAGGAAAATTTTATAAAGACTTACAATGCTTTATTTTGCAGAATGTTAGCATTTGAAGGTTATGACACACCATGAATGGGTTAATTTGGTGTACTAAAAGTTTTATTATTAAATATTAATAATTTTTTTAAATGATTTTAATTTGAGAAGAGTTTATGAAATTAAAGGTGTATAAAACATAAATTATGCAAGAAATTTTTTTAAGTGGTTCAGTCAAACCCGAAAAACCAACATTCTCTATACCTATCAAAACTTACGAACTAGAATCCCACTATCAAATCAATAAATCACTTTCACACCGAGTGTAGATGGTGAAACCATTACAATTCATAATTGCACATTTAAAAGGTAAAATCTTTCATATTCCAATTAAAAAAAAATATTAAACAACCTTTAAATTTCACTAACACTTAATGAAATATTATGGCGAATGAAAATTTAAACTAAATCTTCAATCGATCTTACGACTTGTCGATTGTTGCACAAACATCTTGCTATTGTTAAATGAACTCGCGTATGTTTCTCAAACTTGAAGATGTTTTGATGCTCTTTTGAACTCTTGATGAAAAGTGAAACTCCTGAAATTTTACTCTAAATTTTCATCTTTTTTTCTCATACAAGATTGCTCTTATTTATAAGGGTAGAAAGAATTAATAAAAATAATATAGTTCAAATAACTTTCCAAATTATAGATAGAATGAAGCTATTTAATTATACGTAATTTTAAATGGAATATGGAATATTTCATAATACACATTAATACAACATTTAAAAATTTGAAATCTATTAGACCTGCTTAAATAAATTGGAAACCTAATATATTGATACAAGAATATTTCCTAATAAATTATCTTTTTGCAAAAAGAAAATAAACCAGAAATTGCAGTTCTATATGTATGGCATTGAAATAGGATGAGGAAATAATTGAGTTTGTTTTTAAAACCATTATATGCCTTTAGGTGCGATTGGAAAGGTATTAAATCACCAAATTTTATATAATGTGTAGAGAGCTTTTTCCAATATCTATACATTGGAATTTGCTCATAACTCATAAGGCAACTAATCCTTTTATTTTAATACTTGTTAATGCATGCAAAAATTGCCACTCCATGATTGGTTTGTGGAATTTTAAATAAATATGTTATATATATGCATACATATTCATATAATAAACTGTCTTAAAATAAAACAACATGTCTTAAGATATTTTATTTGGATTAAATTAAATTTAATTCCCCAAGAAGAAAGAAAAAAAAATCTAGAATTTCGGATGAATAGTAAATTCTACAAGTGAATAGTATTCTATAGTTTTTATGAAATTGAATATGATAATTTGCAAATATAAAATCATAAAATAATTATTTTGAAAAAAAAAAATGTAATATATTTTCGAACATATTATAAGCAGCTTTAAATTATTTAAACGATTTCATATACTCTTTTATTATGTTTTAATAAATTTTCTTAATTAAAAATAAATTATAATTCTAGTATGTTTTTATCAATATAATCAACAAAGTTAAAAGCTTTACACCATTGAGCTAGTCATAATTATGTAGAGCACTGAGCTTTTTTCACAAAGTCGATCATTGAGCTAGTCCTATTTATCTCGAACTTCATGATTTCTATATAAAGATAATCATATGATTTTGAAATTTCTCCATAAGAAAATACTAGGTCCACCAATTTTGAGTTTGTTGTCATTAAAATTATAGAGTCAACATGTAAAAAAAGAAGCATAAAATTTTAATGTTGTCGAGATGAGAATTTTCAGGTGGAGGCTTTACAGTTAAAGACAAAATGCGAAATGTGTTTGTCCGTGAAAGGGTTGGAGTAGTTCTGGCGATAGACAAGATTAGAGAGAGTCGTCTTAGATGGTTTTGTCACGTTAAACGTTAACCATTTGATGACCCTATTAGGAGGTAGATGTTTTAAATTTGACTTGTTAAGAAATGTAAAGTTAGACCTAAAAAGACATGATCATGTTGTATAAAAAATGATCTTAATTTATTAGAATTAAATGAAAATTGGACACTCAATAAGAAATAATAGAGAAAAAGGATTAATGTAGCCAACCTCACTCATTTATTAGAATTAAATGAAAATTGGACACTCAATAATAATAGAGAAAAAGGATTCATGTAGCCAACCTCACTCGGTGGGACAAAGGCTTCTTGTTGTTATTGGCGTTCATAAGTTTGAACTGATTACGAAGTCTTCCTATTGATGAAGTA